GTGGCCCCCGTGTCCAATAACCAATCATGAGATCCTATGCTATCAAGGGTGAGAATAGTAGGAAACATGTAACAATGTGATGAATGAGAAGCTTGTAGGTGTTGAACTGTGTTGGCAGAAGGTGATGAGTTTTGTTGAAAAAGAGCAAGAAGAGCTCATTGTTGATCAGCAGTTCGCACAAATTGGTTGGTCCCTGAATTTGAATCATCTGTTTGCTCCTAAGTTTTTTCTTTGAACGGGACTTACGCAATTTGGGGCTTCTTCAAATAAGGAGGAAAACCGTGCTTTTTGAAGCATACTTCAATGGTGTGTCTGGGCTTATTGTAGTAGGAACAAACTTTGGTATCTTTTGATTTGTTGTAAGGTGGAGGCTTTGATCCCGCATCTAGCGAGCGAACTTTCTGATAGGGTTTGGAAATGTGAGCGAGAAGTTTGTGTTCTTCAATAGGTTGGGAAATTTATCTCTCTTGCTGAATGAGAAGAGAGAAAACTTTGTTGACTGGAGGCAAGGGTGTCATGAGCATAATTTAAGCATGAATTCGAGCATAACAATCATTAAAACCTTTCAGAAAGCGAATAATGTAGTCGTTATCATGATAAGATTTGATTATGGAGGTTAATTGACAATGGCACGAAGGTTCACAAGTACAAGAAGGAATGGGGCAAAAATTATCTAATTCTTTCCATAATTTCTTCAATGTTGTGAAGGTATTGGGTGATTGTTTGGTCGCCTTACTTCTGAGCATAGATTTCCTCTTGAAGGCCTGAGAGGCGGAATATGTCGCCTTGGTGGCATCTTTCATGTAATTCTTCCCACGTATCTTTAGCAAAATCCATCCATAAGACACTTTTAGAAATTTCCTTCTTAATTGAATTTGTAAGTCAAGCCATGAACATATTATTATAGCGATCCCATGCAAGGTATTTGAAATATGTGGGATTGGGGCGAATTAGGGTTCCGTCGAAGAATCCTAATGTGTTTTTCGATCGAAGAGCAAGTTTGATGACACGAGACCATGAGTGGAAATTGTCGTTGTTGAGGGACGGGGAAACGATGGATAAACCATGATAATACTAGGATGCATATATAAGGGATCGAGCATATCAGTCTGGTAGTTGCAATTGGAGTTTCCATGATTGTTTTTGGATTCTTTGCGAGGTGAGTTTTTAGGGGTGATTTCATCGTCATTAGAAGTCCTGGATGAGCGAGAAACATAAGGAAGAAATTTACAAGAAGAGTGAACAAAAAACAGAAGGAATCTTGAAAAAAACGACAAGAAAAATTAACCTGAAGGGAACTTGGAGAGAAAAAGAAAATGAAGGATAAGGGTAAAACGAAGGAGAAAGAAAAAAAAGTGAGAAACACATGTTTGAAGATAAGGACGGAGATTATGAGAGCAATCTCATTTTCCTAATACCATGTTGACACTTGTCAATAAATGCATAAAAGAATTGAATAAAAAACTAAATAATCTTTTCATTAATCTCTAAAGGATACAAAATGAGAGATATATGAATAAGTACAAAGAACAATGGACCAAACATCAAGTGTAAAAATAGAGATGGACCTGACAAGTAATTAGGCTAAAAATAAAAATACATTATGATTCAACACCTATTTCATGATTATCAATTGAATTAATTTAATAAAACAAATTTTACTGTTGCACTAACTATGTTGTATATTCATGACTTACGTACTCTCTCTATCCCTAAATATATACATTCATTTGACCAAAAATTTGTCCACAAATATAAAATCATATTTTAAATTATTAGATACATTTATAATTATTGCTTCTATTCCAAATAATTTTCTAATTAATACTACTATTAGGTGTTTTTAAATATGAAAAATCATAACAACATATTCAAAGGGCATTTTAGATACCTCTATACATAAAATAAAAATTAAATATGCATTCACTTTGTCACAACATTATTAGTCGTTAAATCTTAATCACACGGTGTAAAAAAACAAATTTATTTTTATATTATAATTTTGAAATTGTACTTTTAAATCAGAATTATCCGATTTTAATTGAACCACTATCCTCAAATGAATGTGTGAATGCATGTATTTTAACGTTGAAAATCTTAATCCCATAAAATAACACATTGATTTAATTTATCAATCAATGGTAGCTAGCAAGAATGAGGAGACACATTGTCAACAAAAATGTGCCTTCCCAATTTGGATTATATGTGTCTTCCTCTAAGAAAAATCAAAACCATATTTGGATTCATTGATAACAATTATGATTACACTTGCTTTGCGTTATAAAATATCACATTTTATTTGTATTTTTTCTAGAATTTGCATCCTACACTTACATTAGTCAAGAATAAAATTGGTCACTTATGGATATGAAAGTCTAGACTATTTAATGATACAGCTCAATTGTCATTTTAATTACTATTACTTGAGAAAATTTGAATGAAAGGGACATATCTAAAAAACATATGTTTTAGGAATAATGGCAGCATAGCTAAACAAAACAGGAAAGTTGAGTACTTGGGATTCTTCAAATGTTTGAAAGAAGACAAATTTCTATTAGGTGTGTAAAATTGTTTTTCTTATAAATTTACACCACCGATTGACTAATTCTACCAATTGGAGGAATGTTGCAAATACTTAAACAAGAAGAAAGGTGAAATCATAGTGTAGATTGCACACAAAAATTCTAAAACATTTGAGAACATACTTTAGAAACATTGACTTAAATTGCACACTCACTAATGATTTTCCAAACAAATAACCTGAAATATCCGGTAGTGGTGTCTTTTGCATCATCACTAGTAAGTCATAAATTCAAGTCATGAATAAAATTTGCATTGAATTTAGACATGGTGGATTCCTTCACAATTGTAGACGTTAAAATTAACAACTACTATAGAAGATCAAAGAAAAACAGAAGTAAAAGATTAAAAGATAATTAACACAATGATCTTTTTAATGCAGTTTAGCTGATCACGCTTACCTTTTTTAATATATAAAACTATAATTCCTTTTATTTTTATGATTAATTAGAGTTATAATATTACAAGCAATATATATAATATTGCAACTCAGTTTACAATAATATCTTTAAACTGTATCGCAAGGCCTAACGTTGATGTATCTCCATGTCACCTACCCACAATAAACAATGGAGTTTAAGACATGTTTGGAGTTTTTACATATTGTGTTTATCTTTGTCTCATGTATTATGTCCCTCCTTGTCTTAATATGATTCATACTCAATAATCTCAAAATTAGCAAAAATCAAACATCTATAAAGACTTCATACATGACTATCACATCTTGATAACTACGGAGATATACCTTCTATTTAACACTGAGAAATATGTAACAAGTCTAAACAATGTTTGAGGTTGCCATTGATGTCTGACTTAGTCAACATATCAGCTGCATTCTCTGAAATATGAACTTTTTAAAATAATATTTGTCGAGATGCAAGTAACTCTATGATCATGTGAAACCTCGCGTTAATATGCTTGGTCCTTCCATGATGCACCTGGTTGTTTTTCAAAAAAATCACACTATAACTATCATAATGCAACAAAAACTCCAACTTACCCAATTCTTTCATCAATCATGTACGTCATAAAGATTCTTTGGCAGCTTCACCGGCCTTCATGCACTATATGCTTCAACTGTCGACATGATCACTATAAATTGAACCAATGATTTCCAACAAATAAGTTCTCCTGTTTAAATAAAGCCATATCTTATTGTAGACCTTTTATCATCCATATCACCAACACAGTCTTAATTAACATATCCTACAATTAGAGTATCACTTTGTTCAATATTAAACATGATACCATGATCCGGTGTACCCTTTAAGTACTTAAAAAACCATTTGACACTTTCCCGATTTAGACATAAACTTACAACCTGTACTCACAACTTATGTCAAATCTGGCCTAATTCAAATTATAACATACATTAAACAACCAACAACACTGACATAAAGAACTTTTTATCATATACTCGTCTTTTGTATTTGCTTTTGGACAATGATCAAGGTGATCTTAAAGCGATTCACCAATGGAGTGTTCATATCCTTCAAATTACTCATGTCAAACTTGTTTAGCACCTTTTCAACATAGTTTTTATTTAGAGAGGCGTTATTTTATTTCCCTATGAATTTCCATATTAATAATTTTTTTAGCATTACCTAAGTCTTTCATATCCATCTCCTTTCTCCACATGATTTTCGTTTCATTTACGTCATGTAAATGATTGGAAATAATCAACATATCATTAACATATGTATGACGACTTGAGAGAAGATTTCATCATAGTCAACCCCCTTCTACTGCGAGTACGCATTTGTTACAAGACGAGCTTTTAAAATTTTCCCTTCATTTTTATTTATAATTGATTTTCTCTTAAACACTCACTTACAGTTGATGGTCATTTTCCCCTTAAGAATCTAAACAATGTCCCATCTCTGATTTTTCTTCAGTGGCTCCATTTCCTCCCACAAGGCACCCATCAACTTATCTTTCTTCTGGATAGCTATAACCTCTCAAAAAGTGGAAAGGTCTCTAAAACTAGTAAAAAGTGCATAGGATGCCCAGTCTCCATACCCATATCTTTTTGGTGGATTGGTTGAAAAGTGTTCTCTACCATATACAAGAATATAATCATGTAGTCCACTTGAAGCTATAGGTCCATGGTCAATTTTAATATCATACCCTAATTGTACTTTTGGTTCAGGAACTACCTGAATATTTTTCACCGAAGCAATAGATTTGAATTCTTAACCAAATCCAAATTTCGCATCAACTAGATCTACAAGCATATATCGCAAGCCATCACCAGAAATAGTATGGCTTCATTATATCATAATAGTACATACATATATCACAAACCATCAATGCATGTCAATAAACTAGAGGATAGACAACATTTATAACATGATTGAAAGCCAGAACATTTTCTACAAGGTAGTTTAAGATTATATGTTACATTATGTAAACAAATTCATTCAGTGTTGAGTGAGCCATATTACATCATGGACAGCAGACGTGGCAAGCAAGAAACAGCTGATGAAAGTGAAAGCTATTGAGATGGCAACATGGTCACAAAACTTTTGCAAAGGTTTGCAAAAATTTGGAAGAGGTGTATGTCTAATTCCTGTCCGATTCAGATTCGTTACTCCTGATGCAGCAGATCCAGCACTCATCAATGCATAAGCAAAAGCCTGAAATTTTCAGCACTTAATTAGTCACAAATTTAAGCTTTATGAGAACATGAGTTTTATAATAAGCACTTAATATGAACCTGATCACCGGCGAAAAGAACCCATGCGTGGTTTCTTGAAGGAATCACAGAAGAAGCCCTAAGAAACCTTGATGTTCCAATGAGTAGTTGCAGCAAAGAATGAGCTGCAACGGCTACAGAAACCCCAACAACAAATCTGCCAAGATAAAATAAAATCTAGAAAGACAAAACATGCAAAGGGACAAACAAAACAAAATAGAAAAAAGAATTTGATAGAGAAGGAAAAGATATAGAATCATATAAATTCATTTTTTTAAAGAAGAGATTCCATCACGGACTTATAACTGTTCATTCAAATGTCATTATGACTTTTCAAACACACTCATGGCCTCCACTTTTTACGGTCAATTTTGTCCATAACCTAACGTTAAAAAATCCTCACGGTCCTAAGAAATTTTTGCATTAAAATATAACAGCACTATAGTATTATTAATAATAATAAAAGTAAGATCTGACGATGAAGTTCAATTCGTAACTGTGTAAAGACAACGTTCAGATATTCTCTGCACGCAACTCAAAAAACCAACAAGAAGATGAAATGGAAGAGAGAAAATTACTCGTAAGATGGAGAGAAAGACCATTTGGAATGGACAGGTAAACGAAAGGCATAGATAGAAACCGAGCTGTTTTGTTCGGCTGTGATCATTAACGACAGAGAAACAACAGAGGTTGCCATGCACAAAGCTCGAAGAATCAGCTGCATCGCCTCCGCTCTCCTGCACCGGATGGTTTTCTCGGTGGCTCCGACGAGGGGGCCACTCATTGTGAGCGTGCCACTGCTTCCTATAGAGGCTGTTTTGTGTTGACTCATAGTGAGTTCTTGAAGGAGATAGGATATAGTTTTGTATGTGAGTGTGTGATGTATTTGTGTTATATGAATGTGATGAAGGGTGGGAAAGAGTGAGTGAGAGAAACTTGTGATTTGTGTGTGTTGCTGTTGTCATGAGATTGGGAGCTTCCTTTCACTATCGTTTTGTAGGCACATCATATTATATTCCTAAATTTGGTTATGTAAATTTTCAAGGGTGGCATTATAATTCTTTAGCATATTTTTTAATTTCTTAAAGGATTTCTTAACGCAATATCTATGTTTTTTTTTCACCATGCAAATTGTTAAAAATATCTTTTATTTTTAGAGATATATTTTTGAACATATCTTTTACACGGTTAACAAAGATTATTCTGAGTGATGTTCTATAAGTTGGTTATTTTTATTTTAGAGATGTCTCCGGAACATTTTAAAAAATAACTTATTTATTTATTTATTAGATCGGTAGAAATTCCGAAATTACATCTTCAAAAATATGGGCGAAATTTTGAAATATTTGTCACCTTTGCATGCCAGATATTTCCGGAGATGCATCTCTGAAATAATCGGATAAAAGAAACAATTGCATGATCACACAATCATTGTTGCCATTGTTGATTTTCAACCAAACCTTCACTAAAAAATCCTCCATTCTCAATCCATTTTTTCACTCCAAATCTCCATTTTTTGGTTCATCACATGATAGAGAGTAAAAGAAGATAAAATTTCAAGTAAAGGTCATTCATTTCTCACTGCATTGCTCACATTAATCGTGTTTTTTTCCTTAAAAAATAGCGTTGTGTTTGAAAATGTATCTCTAGAACGAGTACGAACTTGTCCGGTGATGCATCTCCAAAAGTTGTCTGTATTCATTTTTCAAGTCTGTTTTCAGCAGTAGCACTTATATATTGTTATGGTTTTAATTATTTTCATTAGATATGCTGCACCCCGACGTTTTCCTAAAACAAGTTGTTTCTCCAAATGTCCAAGGTGTTGTTTTGAATGCGGTAGATGTTGGCAACTAATTTAAAAACAAACAGAGTTTGAAACTTGTGATCAAATGCTTCAATGGATTCGTATGAAGGCCTTTACACTTGGATTTTGTGTGGTTATCGGGAGGTCCGATAATCGTTCGGATAGAAGAAGCGCTTTTGTGACAGGGACATGCGAAAGAAGCGAAAAATATAAAACTCTCCTCCAGAATTTTAAAAGAGATGACACCAGTTCAAATAAATGTGAGTGTCCGTTTAAGGCGCGTGGTTACATATTGGTAAACAAAAACTGGAGATTTAATGTGATATGTGGATTGCATAACCATTATTTATGTGAAAATTTAGTCGGCCATCGTAATGTGTGTTGGCACATGCCGAAAGAGAAGGAATGCATTACTGATATGACATTGAATCTGGTTCAACCGAAAAATATACTTGCAACATTGAAATGGAAACGACCTGAAAATATATCAAATATCAAGCAAGTGTATAATATTAGGTACCTAACTAATAAGGCACTTATGGGGATAGAACTGAGATGCAACAACTCTTAAAACTATTGGATGATAACAGTTACGTGTCTAGGTGCCAAACATGCAAGGATGAAGTTACTGTTAGAGATATATTTTGGACTCATCCTGATTCCATAAAGTTGTTCAACATGTTTTCTCCGGTGCTCATGCTTGATTTAACCTACAAGTCCAACAAGTATAAACTTCCACTATTGGAGATGGTTGGTGTTACTTCAACTGAGAAGACATATTCTATTGGACCTTAGAGCGTGTCAGGCATTGTTGAAGGTCCAAGGTGAGATGTCTAAAGTGATTATTACCGACTCTGATACCGTATTGATGAATCGGTTGCAAGATATTTCCTTCTTCTAATGCATTACTTTGTAGGTATCACACAAAAAAGAATGTGACTAGTCAGGTTAACACGCGGTAGGGGCAAAATAGATAGAGTCTAAAGATGGAAAAATGGTGAAGGCGGGTGTGGTTATTGAAAAAATAATGGATGCATGGAATCGTATGATGAATTCTCCCACAAAAGAACTATATGCCGACTCTGTTATACATTTCAAGAAAGTGTGTGAAAAATATCCAGAATTGTTGAAATATATTGAAAGCGCAATTCTTGAACACGTGAAGGAGAAAATTATTTATGCATAGATTGATAATGTTAGACACCTTGAAAATACAAAAACTAACAGACATGAGTCTTCCCATGCAACTTTAAAAAATTGGTTGAGAAATAGTAATGGTGGTTTCTATAGAGATTAGGACTCCGTGAACCACATATGATTCAAAACCAGCATAATGAGATACAAATATCATTCGGTCAGAGTATCACAGTTTTGGAACACAAATTTAGAGACAATATTCTATATTCTCAGTTGGTCAATAACATTTCTCGGGAGAGTTCGAATTATATTTTTCACGAGGCTAAATGAGCTAATAATGCAGGCTTCGATAGCACAAAGTGTGGATGCACAATTATGAAAACATATGGTCTCTCATGTGCTTGTATTATTGCTAAAAAGGTGAAACTTGGTGACCCAATAAGAAGGGACAAGGTTTTCACTTATTGGAAGACTCTTAGGTTTGATGACGATGGTGTCATGAATTACGGTAAATCAAATATCTCTATTTTAACCGAATGAGAAGTGATACAAGAGAGATTTTTGAAATTCGATGACAAGATGAAACCCCACTTCAAAGAACATATGAAGAAGATTTTCTACCCAGAAACCACCGACATGAAACATCCCTCTCAACTAATAAAAATAATAGGTGCTCTGAAGAAAATGAAGCTTACACCAAATAACAATTCGACTATACGGTCTCCTTCATATTTTTGAACATGTTGACAAAAAATTTCCCGACTCACCAACTCTAAAATCTCAAAAGTGTTGTCAAAGGTGCTTGCAAAAGAAAACCACCTCCTACGACGCCTCCACCAAAGATTTCATTCGTCGACGAGATGCAGGTTTTTATGCACAAATACATTTAGCAAATCGTCAATGTTGTGGGGGATAGTAATTGCTGTTATCGAGCACTTTTGACTTAACTCGGTAAAGGAAAATATAATCATACACTTGTCCTCCATCAACTTATCCAAAATTTAAAGACGCATAAAGAATCATACACGCGGTTGTACAAAAAGAAATAAAAGTTAGATGAAGTTTATGAGGCTCTTGTTCCTTGCCTTAGCGATCCAGCACCGGAGGCAAAACGAATGCGCTTCCTTGAAATGAGTCACCTAATAGCATGTGCGTATGATAGAGTATGTGTTGGCCTAACAAGATACGGTTTTTAGAAAACCTTTTTCCCATTACGCACTTCCCCACCTTAAAATCCAAATGACTGTACCATGTATATTGGGTGACTTTCAAAATCAAGTCATTTTGTTCAAGTTTACTTGAAACTGGGATGCCCTATACCACTTACATCACCGAAGTAGACTGCTCATTCAACCACAAAATGAGACTTGCCCAGATCATTTTATAAAAAGGATGCAAGGATTCGAGAAATTGAACAACATTGAAAAATAATCAAATGCACAAAAGTCCAAGGGAGTACCACCAACAAATTTAGTCGGCGACATATGTTTTGATTCATTTTAATTTATTGTTTAACTGGACAAATAAGTGTATGTAATTATGTCTCAATATAAATGAAATGTAATATATTCACCTTTTATTCATATTGTGTCTTAATACATTTTTTATATTCCCTATATCAACATTTTTTCTTTTGTAAATGGAAAAATAGGTTCTGTTTTGAAACTGGTTCGTGAGAAATTTTGGAGATGCATCTCAGAAACAAGATAATAGGGTGCGGTTCCGGATATATATCTCCAGAATCAGCATGTTAGTTATTGAGTGGTCCATATTGATCTATGATTTCTATAAATTAAGGTGCTCTTATGTTATATTTCACAAAAACTAAAAATGTCTCAACTGTCACAAATAAACATTAACTAACATGTCGCAAATGTCTCCTTTTCCAACTATACATTCGGGAGAATGTTTAAGCTCAGCGATTTCACCTCCCTAGAATATATCAAAGATGAAATCCATCATCTCCTACCTTGCAGAGATAATTGAAAGATTGTGAAGCTCGAGTGTCGTTCATCTTCCATTGACGACGGAGGGAAAATAGAGTTTAACAAATTTGAGTTTAAGACACAAGCAAATGTAAGGGCTATGTGAAATACGTATTTCCGGTTTAAAACTAAAGTTTCTCTCAAGTTGGAAGCAATGATTTCAAGATAGGTCGAAGATATTGCAAAGATGTTGAATCATCCACCTGGATATTGAAGTGTAATTTTGCATTTTATGTTGAAATTATCTATGTAATGCTTATTTTATATTATGAATGTTAATTTTATTTTGAAAAATCAATTAGTTTTGACTCTTCTACTGATGTGTCTGTGTTATAGAAATGTAACTACGAAAATATACCAAAGATGCATCTTCGGAATAAAGTAAACAAAAAATAGGGCGTAAATTAGAATGGTCTTTGTTGAGTGTGTTCGAAGATGAATCTCCAGAAACGAGGACATTTTTGAAAATTCACGTGGTGCATAAGAAACATATAAAGTACATTAATAAATAATCATTTATTAAACTTTTTTTAATTTTTATTTTGATAAAGGTCGAGATTCGGCCCACAAAAAACTAGATCACCCTAAAATTGTAGAAAATAGTTGACTAATAGATACACTTTTCTTATATAAAATGTTATACAATCTAATAACATTTGTCTTCTAAAAGAGATGTTCTAATAGAAGGTTCTATAGGGTCTCTAACCCTAAGAATTAATATAAACACTAAGAAACAATTCAGTCTCAAATACATAATATTTTAAAATTTTAAACCTCACACAAATGGTCGTCATTAAATTGATTGACGTTGTGTTTGTAGGTACACCTGTCAACTTCGGGCATATTAAAAAAATTGTATTATAGTTTATAATTAGATTGATCTGCATAAAAAACAATTAAAAAGAG